TGCTGCAGCGGCCCGGGTTCAAATCCGACCTGTGGCCCTTTGCTGCATGTCATCCCCTCTCTCTACCCCGCTTTCCGGTCTATCTTCGGCTGTCCCTATCTAATAAAGGCATGAAAAGGCCAAAAAAATAACTAAAAAAAAAATGAATAAAATAAAAGTGTAAAACCTAGAAGTCATAGATGACCACCTCCATCCGAGACATTTTCTCCTCTACAAAAATGTATTGCTGCAAGTAGACTATGGGCTATTCTTATGCGGTATACAGTAATCTTTACTGTATATGTACTAAGCATTTCTGCATGTGTTAATATCTCCAAATGAAAGGGAAAGCCTTGTTCCTTTTTTTGGAGGAGCTGGCACTCCTCTACCTCCACCAGCTCTGTAATTAGGTTCTGATGGGGGGGCTGACTCTCCTCTGTGGAAGTATGTGGTGCCAGGCCTCACGGACAGTATCCACCCTTATAGGCTCACGGCGAGCACCCGCTTAGCCAGAGAAGCTACTCCTAAGGTGACTGCAAAAGAAGACAAGGGCTCCTTTTACCTCAGAATATCAATCACAACTTATTGGGGAAGTAGACCGCCAAATTCTGAGGTGACAGATTCAAGCCCCGACTGATCCTTTTTGAGTGAGTGCTCACTGGGGAGAGGTGAATAACTCCCTCTTACATGTAAAATATGACAGTTGATCGATCTCACATAGCCAAAGACATAACAGCGTGATTTAATGTGATGGGGGAAAACAGTTTTGGTGGTGTTGAAACAAAGATATGATGATCTCGTTTGTGTCCATTAGAGACTGCCTTGGAATGAGCAGGCAAACAAGCAGGTTTCTGCATTGCTGTCCAAATGGTTTCAGTTAGGAACTCTTACTCGGGCAAGCTACCGCAGAGAAGAAAGCTAACGGCAAAACAAAAGCATATTCACTTTTATGACCACCTTTAGGATTTAGTGGCACTCATGTGGATGAATGACTGGCTCTGAAAGAGATTTATCGTCATTGCAGTCTATCTATAATATATGCCACAACAGTTAAACAGGATTAAGGCTGGGTGAGGAAAAGGCTACTTTTTAAGGCCATACAGGTGTATGGCCTTCATTTTTATTTTATACAAGCATTGAAAAACTAAAATACACTCCATTTGTTTGTCACGTGAGCAATCCTAATCATCTAAAAAAAGTTACTTGCGAAGAAACGGTTCTGTCTAATTGTTTAATTCATATAATAATTCACATAATTTGAAAGGCAATGCCCGTATTAGACATGTCAGCACTAATGGAGAGCAGATGATGGATGGATGATGGGGAGTTTTACTTTCCAAAAAACTCTTTTAACCAGGCGAGATGATTAAAGGGTGGGAAGTAGGTTACACAAAGCATCCAGCTGCCCAGTAATATCACAGTTTTGTACTATTGGCTCAACATTGAGTCGACATCATGTGGGGAGAGCACAAGGGAGGATTGTGTTATTTTGAAAAAGAGTCTTACTTAAGGCAACAATTACATTCACTGAGGAATGACAGTGTTATACTTATTCACCCTGAGCACCAGTTCAGCCATTACCAATAGTTCAAATATTAGTTCATGAAATGTGGGTGTTTCAAGAGGCAGTATGTCATGCCTTCATCTAAATCCCCACGGTTCACCTATTGATCATGTAAGCATCTGGTTGGGCTCAATCAGTTCTCAGTGGAAATCAAATGGAATGGAATCTTGTCGTGATAAAGCGCTCCTTCTGCGGTGCTTCTAGGGCTGCAACTAAAGATGATTTACTTTTTTGATTAATCTGCCAGCCCTTTTTTGATTCATCTTTTGTTCTATAAATGTAAAAAAACAGTGAACAATGTCAATTTATCAGAGCCCAATGTGACACTTTTTAAAAAATGTTAAACTTTTTTTGCCCGACCAACAGTCCAAAACCAAAAGATATTCAATCTACTATCATAGAAGTCTGGGAAAAATACCAAATATTCCCATTTGAGAAGTCAAATCTTTTACATGTTTAATCAAACATCAAAATTGTTGCCCATTTTCTGTTAAATGACTACTCAAATACCTTTTTCAGCTATATATGTTGCATATATACACAATTTTACATATCACTCTGATAATATCATTTTGAAGCTGAATCAAAACAGTTGAAACACGGAGAATCCTGATCATCTAAACAGACACAACACAAATGACCTCAGTGCCTCAACTTCAAATGTTAACCTCCGTTCCGATGGATGATTGAGTACATTTACAGCAGTAAAGTGAAAGAATTAGACCAGTAACATAAATATTCCCAACATTCTGACAAAGCTCATGTGCTAGTCCAGAATTGGGGTTCAACTACTGCATTTTTCCTTGTCTACATCCAGTAGTGATAGTAGAAAATGGCACCCTGGCTTCGCAAAACTGTGTTGTAAAGTTTTTATGACTTCAAAAACATCATTTTCCACCGACAGGCTATGCAAGTGATGAGCATGCCATCTGGCCTTTAAAATGTAGTGAGATAAGGTCCTGAGATAACTCACTGAGCTCACGTCTAGGAGCAGGGCCCAAATCCAGGACCAAGGCCTGGAAAAAATATTTTCCAGTTATAAATATATGGTAAGTTGGTTCTTAACTGTCTGATGTGGTAGTGATGTACAGACAATGTACAGTGTTATGAGTTGGTACTAACGTCATTCAAAATGTATATCTTACTGAACAGAAAACATTTTTAATGAAAATGATGGATACATAAACCAACCATGAACCAACGCAACATGCTATAAAATATTAGACATGCCTAAATGTATCAAATGTACCATTGCTCATATGGAAATAACATGATCCTTTCAATAATAAAACAATAAAAACGTTTACTAGCAGCAAACAATGCACAAGAGGCATTATAGTATGGCCTTCATATGGTAAAGTGGATGGAAAAGTGAGGCAACCCTCAGTTCCAAATTACAGCATCTTACACAATACTATTTTCCCCCACTTACGAATAGGGGTGTGACTCCCTGAGGGTCAATAACAAACGATTTTACAAGATGTTGCCATCGATGCCCTACTGAGCTGACCTTGTAATAAGATTTAATGACCTTGCCTCAGAGAAGTCCTGGGTGGTGTCTGGAGGAGTTAATGGCGCTCTATATAAACCCATTGCTGCTATAATGTAGACAGCAGTGCTGTTGGATACATACCTGGGACATGCTAAGGTTTGTGTATGAGCTTTGGACTGAGAGGAATTCCTCGACAGGAAGGAGTAGGCGGATTTTGGAGTCAATGTCGATCAGCTGCTCCAGGTCAGAGGGCTCTGGGGTGTAGCCCTTTCTTGTCAGGACTGACACAGCCCACATGTCCTCCTGGAAAGGGAATCACTTATATTAATTACAGCCCACAGGGTATAAGCCTGCTTTATTTTGTGGCAACGTTAATAAGAGACTGATAAACTGATTATCTAAGTACTGCTTATTAAGCAACTTTGTGACAGTGATGTCTGAAACAGGGCAGAGGTACAAGTCTGACTCTAGCACTTGGTATTCACTTCTGGATGGTGAAAAGGGTGCTGATCACTCTTCTCCACGCTGCATGCCAACTATATAGCCAAGTGCCAAAACTTTGACAATTGCCTCTTCCTCTCAGTGACTATCTGTCCCAATAAGACTCCCCTTACAGCCTATGGGAATGAGTGGGTGGGTGGTGAGCTCATCACAGCCCGGTGGTGAGATAAGATCTTGCAGTAATGCTTTCATGCCAAAGAAGATCACAACTCTGCAAAGAACACAGCTGTGACCTCTGGACGCTGTGAGGAAGGAGCAGAAGAAAACTGGCAGAGGACAACAGCAAACATAGGGGTCTGTGAACTAGGTGGAGCACCACACACACAAAGCCAAAACTGAACAAATGACAACCACAAATTCTTATGACACTGGATTCGTGTTTCATTTTTGCAGATTTGTTCTGATCGAGTTAATCCATTGTTTTATTCATTGCAGTGGTTGGACGTGGCAGAATACCCCGTCCCAGACTTCAGACAGGCCTCGGTTTGTCCTTTGCTCACATGCACGTCCTTTGACCATGGTATGAAAATATGAGTTGTTAAACAAACATAAAGTGAAATAGAGTGAAAACATTGGTGGTGTTCTTCACAGTGGTTGATTCCACATAAACAAGGAACACAAAGGATGAGGAACCAAGAAATAATGCAATTTTTTTGTTGTTTTTTTGTCGAAACAAATCAAGTCCATCTTTCAATGAATAGTTTGACATTTAGGGACATATGCTTATTTGCTCTCTGGCCGAGATTTAGATGAGAAAACCATCACTCTCGTTTGTGTGGTAAATATACAGCTACAGCAAGCAGTCGGTTACCTTAGTTTAGCATGAAGATTAGTTTAGGCAAAGGCTTGGTGTTTTTACACTTACTAGAGATTTGTACAGATCCCATAAATTAGACATAACTTGGCTTTAGAGGTGCCAGACTGTTGTTTCCCCCTGTTTCCAGTCTTTATGCTAAGCACAGTAAGCTTGCATGTTAGCTTCACTTTAGTGTGAGAAATGGATGGTTGATCTTTCATCATAAGCTTTATGCTTCTTTTTTTTTAAACACCATAACAGTTGTTCTTTAATCCCCATTGATTAACAACTACTGTTCCTTAAACCATAGATAAAAGGTGAATGTCAGTGAAACAGCCACTTCTGCAGCAACAAAATGTTCAATGATTACAGACTGCTACTAACTTACTGCCTCCGGTTACCAGAACTACACCAAACTATGGAGCTTGTTAGGACAAGACTCAGTAATATCAAAAAAATTCATGAGGCAGTGAGCAGCAGCCTGTGATTGATGTGTCCTGGGGGGGGGGGTTGCAAAGAACTGGGTGAAATCCTCAAAACTCAAGACACCTCACTGCCAAACTCCTGGTGACATAAATAATGTGCTCCACTCTGTTATGGCTATTCATAATAGCATGTCTCGCAATAACAGGAAGTCTTCCTCTAGCCAATAAAAAAACCCAGAGCATCTGCACTCCTCTCAGTTTGGTATCTGCCACCACAATTACTACAATATTGTTCTAAAAGTCAAGGCAAACATCATAAATAGAGCAGCAAGACATAAAAAAAAACCTGGCAGGCTGTCCCACGGATGCAGAGCTGTCGGGGTCAAGCTAAATGGAACCGTATGTGAAAGGTAAGTATGTTCCCTCTCACTTCCCAACAGGCTTCATCCCATCTGACTTCAAATTGGCCTCACAGCTGCCAAAAGGGCTATTAAAGCAAATTAAAACTGAAAATAAAAAACATTTGAAGTTTGGGTGGTTGGTTCACATTGAAATAATCTATGGCTCCAGGTGGCACAAGGTCTCAGATGAATCTTCAAAGAAAAACAAGAGACCTCGGTCTCTTTGAGCACAAACAGCACACCCTCACTGAGAGTGCAACTGCTGCGTATAGTAAAGCTACATGAAAGATCCCTGCCTCTGAATTTTCGCAGAAAGACCACAGAGGGAATTATTAGGAAAACTCGATAATAAAATAAATCCATAACATGCGGCATTCCATGTGAACTGCATGTGGCACCTGACATCTGGTTCATAATGTGAACTGCTTTGAGGAGTCAGAATCTTCTGCCCAGAGGCTGTCTCAGCTGCCAAGCACTCAACAAAACATGGATATCGGACCAGTGTTACTCTATGTCCTGTTCTGAAGTTACTTAATGTGTTCAATAACATCATTCAAAAGGCCAAATGTTAGATAATGACCTAAGTTAAAACAAATAAGATAATACAGAGACTGTATTAAAGGGATGTGACTAAACACCGGAGACAATATTTGCTTTCTATAAATTATAAACTGTACTACAACATTAAATGTACATTAAATGTAGTAAATGAAAATGTTGGTAGCAAGAGCAGTGGTGCTGTAGGACTTCTGGACAGGAAGTATTAAGGAACTTGAAAAAGAGAGACTCATCCTACAGCATATGTTGTCTGTTAGGGGTTCATGTCAGCCTACCTCACTGTCTGCGCCTCTGGCACTGTCTTCTTCCCCTTCGTCTACGTCTTGGAGGAGCTCGGCAAGACGCTCTTTCTCCGCCTGGGTCAGAAGCACTTGGTCCCCCTCACCACTTACTAGCTATCGCATTACACCGCGTTTGGAGGGAAGAGAATGAAAATCATTATTTGCATAACATTTCTCCTTTCAGTGGTGCCCTAGTAGGCTTAAAATGTGACTTTCTCTTGAACTAGAGACAAATATTTTCCTCACTGGAAAAACAAACTCACAAGAGACTGGCTCCAAGTCATGCGATATACCCTAGCACTGCATTTGGTCTGACGTGAACTTTGACATACCTCAATGTTTCTCTTGACAAAGTCCTTCTGTTTTTTCTTTCCTTTGGAAGCTCCACAGTGGCTGCCTTCAAATTGCTCTTCCCCAGTCTCCCCATGGCCTACTTCAAATGATTCTGTCAAACTGTTTGGCCTCTTTTCACCTGTTAGGCAAGCCACACTTTAGATTCCAGAGGGTAAATATTGAAAAAGTAAGTCAAAGCTCGAACAATAACATTACCCAAATCTGATTCTAAAAAATCACAGAATTTCTCTAGGAATCATTTTTCAACCATGAGTTCTTATTCAATCATCTGATCCACATGATTAAAGAGTTTGCAGCTAGTCAAATAATCTTGTTAACAATTAGCAAAATGTGAGACTACTCTAGCTCTGCAAGGTGGCAGAGTGGAGAAGACCATGCTTCGACTAAACTGTAAGAGGTTCAAGCCCCCATGATAACAAGCGGCCAACATGCCTCACGGAAACTACACACTGAATTCCTCACAGTTCACGGGCTGCTGTTTCGGGGAAAAAAATAGATTTTTCCCCTCTTAGAGGATCAATATCATAAAAAGCCACAAGATCTTGATCAGGAGACTGTTCATGAGTCATATAGTGGGAGAACTGTTATTATTTCACCTCTGGAAAACTGCTGTAATATCTGAGTTAGTTACTACTGTCTGCACCAACCTACCATGAAGAGAAAAACAACAGCTGCAAGTTTCCTGAGCTCATGGTGCCATCAAGTGCACAATCCAGGCAGTGCAACATAGATTTTAAGACAACATGGAAATATGCGTGCTGCATTTTCTGTCATCTTCTATCTTCACTCACTTTGCTCCAAGTACTGGCTGTCTTCATTGGGCTCCCAGTCGGGAACCTGAGTTCCAAACACAGGCACAAAGTCGTCCCCCTCTTCTGTCCCTTAATGATAACAAACAGTTTTAAGATGTCTTACAGTGACTGCTTGTACTAAACTTTTCAACACTGTTGTTCATCTGTATATTGTTTCCTACGCTTACCAGTGGGTGCTTCCAGAGCCAAAAACAGCTTTGTGTTCAAAGCTTCATGGGCACATTCAGAGTGACCTTCAGGCATACTCTGCTGCAGAAAAAAAATACACATTTTAGCATACCAGTGAAGTGAAGAGTGACCTTTTTTTAGTCCAAAAAAAGTACTGTCAAGTGAATTGTCAATGTAAGTAAGACTGTATATGTAAAGACTGTCTACCAGGAGCTCTTGCCAGAGTTTTGCTTGAAGTTCTTTCCTTTGACGCTTGACTTCTTTTTCTTTGCAGATCTCTGCAGACAGTATTTCATCAAGTTGTCTCATTTCCTCAATGGCTCTCTGTAGTTCGAAATCTTCCTTCTCTTCATCAGTATCAGCCTGACATTGACCTAAAAGAAGCACAAACATCACATACAGTGTGGGTAACTTGATTTCACCAGGCAGAGGAGTGTGTTCAGTGGCAGACT